GGGGTGGGGGGCATTTTGGGGGGGGTCTCACTGGTCCCTGACTGCCCCCCCCCCAAGCTCGCCCACGCCATCCGCCTGCTCCTGGAGTACACCGAGACACCCTATGAGGACAAGCTCTACAGCTGCGGGGAAGGTGAGGGGGGGGAGACTAGGGGGTCCCCACGCCGCCCTCAAGCTCTCTGGCTTTTGGGGGGGACACGGCATCACCCAACACCCCCCACATCCTTTCAGCTCCTGACTATGACAAGAGCCAATGGATCAACGAGAAGGAGAAGCTGGGGCTGGACTTCCCCAACGTAGGTGGTCTCGAGCTGGGGGGTGGTGGGGGGTGGTTATGGGGGTTGGGTGCCCTGGTGGCCCCATGGCTTGATGTCCCCTCCAGCTCCCTTACTTCATTGATGGCACTACCAAGCTCACGCAGAGCAACGCCATCATGCGCTACATTGCCCGCAAGCACAAGATGTGTGAGCACTGGGGTGGGCTGGGGCTTGGAGTTGGGTTGGGCTTGGGGTTGGAGCTGGGTTGGGATTGGGATTGGGTTGGGCTTGGGGTTGGATCTGGGTTGGGATTGGGATTGGGTTGGGCTTGGGGTTGGAGCTGGGTTGGGCTTGGAGTTGGAGCTGGGTTGGGTTTGGGGTTGGATTTGGGTTGGGCTTGGTATTGGAGTTGGGTTGGGCCTGGGGCTGGACTTGGGATGGGGTTGGAGTTATTTGGGCTTGGGTTTGGAATAGAGTTGGGCTTGGGCTTGGGCTTGGAGTTGGGTTGGACTTGGGGTTAGGTTGAGTTGGGGGGCACCCCCCCCTGTGCTGACATCTCCCCATCCTGCAGGCGGTGAGACAGAGGAGGAGATCCTCCGTGTGGACATGCTGGAGAACCAGATCATGGATTTCCGCATGAGCCTGGTGATGGTCTGCTACAACCCCGACTTTGTGAGTGTGACCATGCCCGTGCCGAGGTCCTCCCTGGCCATGCCATGGGTTGCGTCAGCATTGGCGACCCCACGTCGGGAAGGTGCTGTTCCCTGGGGTGGGGGGACCAGGGTGCTCAGCCTCACCCCTCTATCCCCTTTGTCCTGCAGGAGAAGCTCAAGCCGGGCTACCTGGAGCAGCTCCCGGGGAAGCTGAAACTCTTCTCCAACTTCTTGGGGGACAGAAAGTGGTTTGCGGGGGAGAAGGTACCGCTGGGATCCTGGAGAGGGGCAGCAGGGGCTGGGGAGGGTGTTTGTCCCCACACTGATCCTCACCATGTCCCCCTCCCTGTCCCCAGCTCACCTTCGTGGACTTCCTCATGTTTGACGTGCTGGAGCAGAACCGCATCTTCGAGCCCAAGTGCCTGGAGCCCTTCAAGAACCTCAAGGACTTCATGGACCGCTTTGGGGTGAGTGGGGCCACCCTGGGCATCACCCTCCCCTCCCTGGGGAAGGACCCTGGCCCCTGAGGGCACCCAGGGGTGGGGGGTGCCCCAGTGGGATGGGTCCCTGATGCTCCCCTTGCCCCCCCAGGCCCTAGAGAAGGTGGCTGCCTACATGAAGTCCAGCCGTTTCCTGAAGATGCCCATCAACAACAAGATGGCCAAGTGGGGCAACAAGAAGGAGTAGGGGGCTCAGCATGGGGTGAGGGGAGCCGGGGAGGGGGTCCTGACCTGACCCCCCCAGCACCCTCCATTGTGGGGTGGGTTGGGCACCACTGGCGTGAAGCTCCCCAATACAATAAAGTGCTTTAGATGTGGTTCTCTGAGCCCCCCCTCCGAGTGCTGCTGTGTAGGGATGGGGGTGGCTGGGGGGTGCGCCGAGCTTGCCCCCACCCATTGTGGGGGGCTGGTGGGTGTGGGGTGAGTGGGGGCATCCCTGACCCAATAGGCATTGCTGCCACCCCAGCCCCCCCCTCCCTGGTTTGGCTGGGGTTTGGGGGGGGCACAAGCTCAGCCCTGTGCTGTCCTTGGGGCCCCCCCTCTCCCTTCTCATTAGCGCATTCCTGCCTGCTAATGAGGCAGTGCTGACAAAGGCGGGGGGGGGGGGGGGGGCGCGGGGC